CTTCTGTTTTTAGCAACTCGATGGTTCATGAGATCTCCCTGACGCAAAGAATAGATTGTGACTGCGCACGAAAGCGCGGTCTGCGATGAGACGTCGCGCTCCACACCGTACCCCTCCCATCTGTTCACGAGATAGATGCAGTCGATGATTGCGCCACGTCCTCATCGACTTTCCCCGTAAATGGAGTTGTTCATGAGAGTTAAAAAAATTAGCTTCGAAATCGGAGGACGCCGCTGTCGTTCGTGAATTTGTTGAGCGTCCATGTAAGTGGCAAGCCAAGGACTTTGTCGAAAGAGAGAATCTGCCGATGAATTTATTGAGAGTGCACGCCCAATTCCAGGCCTGCATTAAATTTCATATGAATAAGACGAAGCGACGCTTGGGCAACCAGCGTCGCCAATAACTTGGCAACTTGTTTGCCTTTTCCGTGTCGGGGGGCACCCGCGTCTCGGACAAGGAGGCAAGTCACTCAATCGATCGTGGATTCTCTCGGACTAGTCAAGTCGACTTTCCAGAACGTATCCGCGATCGGATCTGGGGACCAACCTGCTTCAAGTGTCGAACATACAATTTCGATATCCGTCAACCATTTAAAACCGTTACAGTGGCAGTGGATGACGCATAACTAAAGCCATACAAATTAGTGTTGCACCAATAGGAGAATAATTCTTCTTAACGGATTGAAGGAATTCTTCTAAGATGAGACGTGATGCCACCATGGCGCTCGACCAACTGTACGAGAGTCCGCCCCTGATACCCCTTTTCGAAAAAAGAGAACCTATGTTCAAACATCTGTGAGAAATCTCGAAGCGTGATGTCGGTGTTATTAAGGCAGTTGCGTCCCACGAGAGTCCAGGAGCGTATATAAAATGCAGCGATCGAACCGTTACACTATCACAAACACAGCCATTCTAAAGTTTCATAGAAACGTCGGTGAGCCAAACAACACGTCGATGATACAAATACCAATCAGCGTATTCACCTAAATTTTTAACGATAAAGCGTCCCACACGGCCCGCGCGTGAGCGTACTCCGCGTCCAGATCGCATGTGTTTGTGAGTCTGGACTAAAAAAAGCCTCGCGTGGAGTGAAGACGTTTCTTCCAAATCTTCGAGCATGCAACTTACATAGTCGTAGAGAGAAGCACCTTCCTGCTGCTATGGCAAAAGAGTGCATCGTCGAAAGCTAACGCCCGAGTTGAGATTTCTAAAATTTGAACGAGTGCAAAGGGAATTGACTCAAAACTGTCGAGTCCTGCACCTAAAAATTTTAAAAGAATCTAAAAAGCGCAATTCCACACTCCGATTCCTCTGGAAAGGTACACGAATCTTCTGATTATGTGAATGAGCGACTTCTCAGCTTAATTGTGTTACTATGCTGCCGGCATATGAGCAGGAGAAAATGACAGTCGTATCCGCTTCCTTATGGCATTCATGACGGCGAATGTGCTTTTGAGCCCGCGAAGTTGACGTTGCAAATTTGAGTGTGCCTGCTCCACGAAACCGACCGGTAGAAATGTACGTGGTCTCGAATCACGAATGTATCATTTGAATGAAAAGAGCTTACATTATGTACATTGCAGTGGAGTTGAAAAAGCAATTTCGTCATCCTCACAGCATGAGAGAGAAACGGATGCTCCAAAAGAGGAATTGATAATCTTTACCATGACTAACTAAAGTTCAACCAATTGTTTGTCCCAACCGTCGCTGTCCAACTATATACACTAATGTACTTTGAAGAGTGTGCTGCATCAAAAATCACACACCACTTGAATGCACACCGAAAACGGGCTCGTGAATTTGATAGGCCTGAAGGTAGGTTCGTTCGACGAAGGGCACGACAGTAGAATGTCTCTCCCAAAACGTTCTGCCGCAGTGAGACTGAAAACTCCGTCACGAAGATAAATGAAAAGTGAAGGTAAGATTGATAAGTGACTTGATACATATTTTATGAGCTTAGCCGATTATAATTTATAATACTCCATTTATTGTTATTTTCAGACGCCAGTCCGATAAGAAAGTGAATTACGAGAAGAAGATTATGATCGGGCAGATGTCTGCTGTAAAATGGATTTGATGCTTTGATCTCACTCAAGTGGAGAATGACGAGGAAAGAAGCGTACTCGCCTTGCGCTTTTTACATCAGCAAGAGGAGACACTCTCCCCCAAAACTGCAGAAATAGTTCACAATAGCAGGGACTTCTAATCCTAATCTTCCATCTTTTTCAATTCGAGTTCTCCTACAGCCAACAAAGATTGTATCAGTCAAGTCAGCTCCGAGATTAATAGACAACAATGATTTCCAATAATTTCATTTATACACCAACCTCACCTGGCTGAACAGTAAGTAAATCAATAATTATTAAAAATTTAAGAAAAGTACAACCAAGTACATCTATAAAAATTATAAAATGTTTATGTAAAATTCCTGGAGATGCTTGATAAAAATGAGGAGGGTAAACGAATCCAAAAAAAATTGACGATTTCCCAGAAGTAGTATCGGCATTTCAAATAACAGTGCTAGAAAAAATTAAATCTAGACGTCAATCAATAATGAAAGTACGCTGTGACCATTGCAAATATGATATGACGTTTTCCTACCAAAAGATATGTGTAATAATATAATATGTTAAAATGATATAAAATTATTGCATGCTATATTACTAAAGCACTCAATGAAACATATTTTAATTAATATTAGATGTTGCGATTACTATTCTTAATATTGTTTTTGTTTATATCGTTATAGAGTGTGGTACGAAATTGGATGATATATGACGTATGAAACATTCCTTGCAGCAGAGCCCATGCATTTTATTTCGGCAAAAATCTAACATAAAGCATATGTGGCTTCTGCATTTACCGCAAGCAAGAATTAATAAAAACCAGAATGCTGCGGAAAACCGTATACAAACTATCTTTACAATATTTTAAAAAACATTCACAATTTACAATTATTCTTAATATTGTCCAAAATGAAAACTTTGTGTAATTTCATTACATTCTTATTATTATATTGTTTATCTACTTGCAATTATGTTTAAACAACAAGACAACCCAAAATTTTGGGGAACAAAATTGTGTAAAAACAAAGACTTTCATTTTATGTTAAAAATCATTTAAATTAAAAATACACCTCACTCTATCCTTCAAGAAAACCATAAGAAGTCGTATACTAAGTCACATTACTTTTAATATATTATTTCTTAAAATCAATAAAAGCTTAATTGTCCAAAGAAGAATAACTTTTATTGTAATTCATTACGCTTATTTAAAAATTATTCTTAATTAAAAATTTATTTTATTTTAAATTAAAAAATATTATGTGTTCAAAGAAACAAAAAGAGTAGCAGTAATAAATTATTTTAATGAACTATTTTTAAATTATAAAAGTTGAATTGTCCAAAATGAATAACTTTTTTCCATTAAAAATAATTTATTTAAATTAAAAATACAACACTCTCTACAACGGCCTTCGAGGTCGGATCCGGGGCCAACCGCTATGAATAGCCGTCCTTGTGCGACGCGGGCCATGCGCCGCCACTTTGCTCACAGAGCGCGGCTGCGAGGCGCGCCGTCGCCGCTGGTTCCAATTAGAGCGCCGGCGAGCCCATACCACAGCGCAGCGCCTTCGCCAAACCGGTGCAAGACCGTGGACTCGAGACGGTAGCAGGGCACCGCCGCGCGACTCGCCGTCACATCGCTTGACGATCCAACCCTATCGACCATTTTTGACAAAGCCCTCCGCCCGAACCCCTCCCCACACCCCCCACTCCCACCCACTCCAAAGTCGTCCCTCCGCCTACGCCCACTCCTCCCCACTCCACCCTGCCCCCCCACTCCACCGCACCTCCAGCCATGCAAGTTAGGCACCCCACCGCGGGTTCGCTTCTTCCAGGAGAGGATGCTGTGTAGAAGAGAACTTGTTGATCAATGTGACATTTCTTATTTCTTACCAACAATGGTGGTTCAACCGTAACAAAGAAAAAAGTCATACATTTAAATAAAAATACTTACAAAATACAAAATTGAAAACAAGCAATCATAAAAGAGAAAAACGTGAGGTGTGCTGAGGAACCATCTGCCAACAAAAGATAGAAGGACGAAATCATTATATATTAAGATTATGAGTAAATAACAATGCACTTTAAAAAAGAATTTGAAACAAACTATACATATTCCTGTACCTCCCACTCAAACGTCGCCTCAGCGCGCCGTAAGCGCATGATGTCCAGTATAGCAGAGGGTGGTGGCAAGAGTGAACACAACGCAATGTCATGTGCGAATTGGACGGCTCGCCGACAGGTCATATTTGTGCGTGTGTGGAACGTGCCACGCGCAAGGTTCCACACTGATTAGGAAGCACGCGCGGCGACTCTCGATGCCAGAGGATCCCACTTCCCGAGCATGCCTCCCTATACGGACTTGCCAACGACATGTCCACACACGATACAGTGTCTGTGCGCAAGAGTTTGCGATAGCGCACAACGTCGGAGTTCACAGACGCACACTGAGTCTGCGAAGCGGTAAGAGAGATGCGCGAGGGCCGCGTGATGTGAAAGTACTGCCATGTCCTCCCCGGTCGTCTTTGCCATGTCGTCGCCCGCCAACTCATTTGCGCCAGAACACTATTACGACACTTCACACCGCGGTCCACGCTTTTTCGCGGAAAGCGTAGTGAAGCCGGTGTTTTGTGTACGCATCGGCAACGGATTCACTTGACATCCAGCGCGACGGTTCGAGACAAAAAAATTCATCACACTCACGGTCATTATAAGCTGCGCGAGCATAATGAATCTACACTTCGTCCAAACGCATCTACCAACGAGAGCTGATGCAGCTATTGTAATAATTGCACGGAAATGAGCTCCAGTGGAGTGATTTCAGCGATGTGTCTTGACGCGACTGTAGAGAAAGCGAACTGTAGAAAGGTATCGCCTTTGTTGTGATGCAGAACCGGCCGTTCTCCCCTACTGGTACCCCTCTGTGTCTTTCGCACACCGAACATTTAAAGGGACGTTCACCGTTGTGTATCCGCATGTGCGTAACTAGGTCAGCTTTCTGAACGAAGCTCCTTTGGCAGACGGAACATTCATTAGGGCATTCACCGGTGTGGAACCGCCTGTGTCTGACTAAATAGCTTCTATCCGCGAAGCTTTTCTGGCAGATGGAGCATTCATGACGGCGTGCACTGTGTATCTCCATGTGCCTGACTAAAGCAGATCTATCTAGGAAACTTTTTTGACAAACCGCACATTCATAGGAACGCTCGCCGCTGTGATTGCGCATGTGTTTAGCTAAATCCTGATGGGCAAAGCCTTTTCGGCAGACACTGCATTCATAAGGGCGTTCGCCGCTGTGGCTTCGCATATGCCTAACAAGCTTTGACCTCCGACTGAATTTTTTTTGACATACGAAACATTCTAAATTTTTCGCTTTCGGCGGGAAACTAATGTCATGTTCATTTTCCGACAAGCTCGTAGGGCAAACAAGGCGTTCATCTTTCTGCCTTGCGTTATCTGGATTTGAAAAATGTGTGTCGTTCTCTGAATGTTTGTTCGATGGAGCACACTCGTTTAGTTTCTTTTCGGCTTTGTAAAGTGTAATATCATTTCCTTTGTAGCAGGCGCCGTTGCTCTTTTCCCAATAGCTTTCTACTTGATTGTGCGATTCAGTGAAGCTGCCATATTCTCCACCTGTTGGCAGAAATACTTAATGAGCAAGAAATCAAAGCCATTTTTATTAATTTAGTAAAGCAGTGGCAAAAAACTGAAAAATGCCTTTAGCCCAACAAAGTACAACCAACCACCAACACCAGTACAATAAATGAATTGATTAATAAACATCTGCTCCGGGTATTAGAAGTCCGTTTCCATATTATGCAAGGGATCAACATACATAAGTTTGTGAAATACGATGGAGAATCAATTCTCCCTTAGTGACTACAATATTTCAATGCTTACAATACAGCTAGTGTCGACAATTCGCCGCTTTCGAACCCCTGGATGTCCCAGTCAACGACGCTGCAGAGGCAGCGATGGTGTCGTACAGGTATGCCAGCCGGAGAGTTAATCTTAAAATTGATTTAAGCGCTGATGACAAGGGCCAAGTACAAGGAAGAAACCGTGCCCGTCAAGACCGACATGCCTTCGGGCCGAGAGGTTGAGGCATAAGGCACACTGGCCTCCAGAGTAGTTATTACCACATATGCAAAACTACTATTTTCAAAAACGTGAACATAAAATAATACTACTAGATTCAAAAAATTCCTGGAATATTTAATTATTTATTTAATGTGTATTTGATAGCCACTTCGGTAGATTTTCCATGTTTGTACCGATTGCAACAATTTTTTTGTTGATCGTGCGTGTTGTCGAATTTGATCATGTCGGTCTAACATAAAGGTTTGTGTTTTATTACACAAATATCCGTTAGAGACATTAAGAATGTTCGAAGAAGCGTATAAAGATGCAGCAATGAAAAAGCAGGTTTATCTCTGGCATAAACTTTTCAATGAAGGTCGCGATAGCGTGAGAGACGACCTTCGGCGAGGACCACAAACAACTGCGACAAATGAAGCGAAGCAAAAAGAGTGCGCATTGTTGTGAGGAGTGGCCGAAGAAGGAGTGTTGAGGAGATATCGGCAGAGGTAGGAATTTCAGTTGGAAGGGAAAACACAATTCACAAACATTTGAACATATATTTCACATCGCAAAAGTTGATTCCCAAAAACGTCGTCTCCTGAAAACAAATAAACAAGAATCGTTCTTGCCGACAATCTGATGAGAATTGCTGATCAAAATAATAACTTTTTGAACAATGTAATTGCTGGAGATGAAACTTTACGCTGTTTGTACGACTCGGTGCCGAAACGACAGTCCCGCGAGCGGAAATCCGAACATCTAAGAAACAAAAATTTCCTAAGAACACGAGCAGATGCAACGTTTTGTTGGAAGTTTTCTTTGACCCACACGGCGTCGTCCACTATGAGTTCATTCCAGAAGGTTGTACTGTAACAAAATAACTATCTGCCGATCCCGATGGTCGAGATTGTCCAGGCAGTAGTGTCGTAGTGATCTCGAATTGAACGATCGCGCGTTTGAGACCCGCCTCGGGTATTTGTGTTCGTCCTTTCACCCCCCCTATCACCCCCACATCATGTCATCTTCACATTTACCATACCGTTAAATGCAATAGTGGTCGCTAATGACCTAGATGTTAAATAACAAAAATAACCTTAAGATAGACAAATGACCTTAAATAACAAAAAATAATACCTATCTGGAATTCCTTCGTCGCCTCAAGAATGCAATGAGGAGAAAATGACCGGAAAAGTGGACACGAAACTTCCGGTTTGTTTTGCACGATTACGCACAATTACAGCAGTCAGAATTGGTAAACAAATATTTTCTCTTTCCACGGCTGAAAACTCTCGTGAAGTGGCAAAGATTCGTGAACGCTGATGACGTAACAGCAAATGCAACGTAAACACTTTGATTAGTATCGCAAAATGGCTTCCAGAATTGCTTCCACTCACTTTACACGTGCTGACAGAAGTGTGTTACTGCGCAAGGTAACTATTTTAAAAGAAAAGTTGTGGCAATAACGTTATGGTACCCTGTTTCTGAGTTATTAACAATTTCCTTGAACATTTTAAAGCTAGTATATATAAATATTTTATATTGTGCAATAAAAACTAAGTCGGAAACCTGCCAACCCGGCCAAAAATCTCAGAACGGAACGATTTCATATGTGAAAATGACCCCTATAAGCCGGAAACCTGTCTAATGCGGACACGGAATGGTTTATTCAGAACGTAAAGTATTACCAGGCTAAAAAGAAACATTTAATTTTAAATTTCCTGTTTTTTTCTTTAGATTGGCATAGTGCGAAGGGTCACGTCCTGTGACAATATAGTAAACGACGGCATTTTCCTCTTATACCCGCGCTCTGGGAATCTTTGGCGAACTCGGCGACTGTTTGCCGAGACTTTCTCACGCGTTGATGTGATTTTTAAGGTCGCAACAAGCGCGACTTCGTCCTTTTCGCCTCCGAATCCTTAACGTTGGTCACCCACATCCTGTTCCATTGTCAAAAGCGTCGTCACGTTTTCTTAAGTCGGCAATGGAATTCCGGGAAGGCTGGCGTGGCATCATAGCGAAGCAGTCGTCGTATTGACGAGGTGTACAACACACCATTTAGCGAACGCTCTGAGTATAATACGGGAAAGCTGTGTGCTACTGTGCCAAAAAATCTTCAAAGGGTGTGTGCAAAACCCTTTCGATTCAGAAAAATGCGGAATGAAGGTTTGTTCTTTATTTTCCGTGTTTCGCAGGAGATTTTTAATTTACTGCAATATTAGTGTTGATAAATTATGCTTTATTTTATTTATTTCCGCAAACAGTTACATAAAAAGACTACTTTAGTTAGGTGAACTTGTGGCAACCCTCTATAAGACGGCAACCTGTCAAAACGGAAATATTTTGAAGGAAGAACAACAGGTTCCTCCTTAGACAAGTTTTACTGCATTATAAGAAGTCTTGGTTATATACTAAACTTAAGGGCTTACGTAAAAACTGCTTTTTTAAAGGAAACCTCAGAAAAAATATTTTTTTTTAAATTACACAAACGTAATTCTTTTGGAAAGATTCTCGCGTCGTTAATATCTACATTACGGACGTACTCTATAATTATTCCACTAGTGCGTGAGAGCTTAAAATGATTTCTTATGAAGTTTCATTTTCTGTGAAAATTAGCTCTAAATTGCGAATGTTCAGAAATGCTGAAAAAAAGTTCCAATTTATTCAATGGAAATAAGCATTAAGAAAAAGGTTATGCTCTTCAAAGATCCTTCTTTCAGGTCTCATTTCAATTCTTCTATCAGGGGACCGTAGAATGAGAGGACCAATCCAACTTGAAGAAACAAACGGGCGCCGATAGAGAGTGAGAGATGCCTGAAAGGATAGTCCAGACTAAAGAGATGAGGAAACTAACTTGGTTCGTGAAAGTCTGTGTCTTTCTGTTGCACCACTAGTTTCACAAGTCAATTAATTTATTTTTTTTAAATACAAATATTTGATGTAATTTAATTCTATGGATCAATATTTATGTTTCATACCTAAAATTTCCTATTTAGATTTATTTATTTACATTCATTTCGCTATCTGGCACAATGACAAAATGTATTGTTGAACGAACAACATATTGTATTGTAAAGGAAGTGTTTCTTCACTTATCTTGTTTCCGACTTATTTTCGCTATGGCTGGGTTTTATAGATGCTCCGCGCGAGTAGTAAATGCGATTCTGCAAGTGACGATCAGATTGCAATCACTCAATCATGTATATAATCTTGCATCAATCATGTACGTAACAATTCAATCACAATACTTGTTTGCAAGCATGATACAGCGCGACTTAAGCCTGGTTTACACGTTGCCAATACAGGTGTGCCAATTACAGGTTTGCCAGCACCAAAACAGCGCTGGCGCATTGTGCAACGGGCAATAGCAGTATACACAGTGCTAGTAATGACATGGACGATGATAGTTTTCTCACTGATGGTGTGCTCTTTGCAACGTGCTGCTGATGCTATTCAACACGCAAGCAGCGGCGTGCAAAGTAAATGCCCTATAAACTTTTAATCTGATTCACTACCTCTGCTTTGCAGAAGTTATCAACCCCATTTCATTCGCAATTGCCAAAAGCACCGCATTCCTGGGACTCGTGGTTCTTATATTCTGGTAAAAAAATGCCCCACATTTTTTTTCCGTTTCTCTATGTAACCGGACAAACTTGGCAGATTGTTCTTCCGTCATTCGGAACGTCTCCTGCCCCCAGCCATTTTCACTTTCTCGCTACCGCTTACGCAGTAGAGAGAAAGTTAAGTAATGCTACGCGGAGAAAGGGGGAATTTTCGACAGAAAACCTATTTCAGGGCCCTGATAACAAAAAAAAATTAAGTTGCTAAATTTGGTAAGAAAATCCTCTAACACGCGGTGCAATGAGAATCCATGTTTTCTGGGTCCCTGATTACAAAAAATTGATTGATGGCAAAACGTTTGCTTGTCCGTCTATGAACACCGCTAGCGGGTAAACGTTCAGACGATTTTCTCCAAAATTGATATTCATCAATAAATCTTTCTGATGTCGCGGCCCCTTGAATTTGAAACCGATATTTTAATTTTCGGGAATACTTTACATAAAGCCACTGGGACATTATGAAAATGTTTAAAAAATGTCTCCATCGTTCTTTTATTAAATTTTGTTGTTTGATAGTTTGAAGGGCGTTTAAGAAAATGTGTAGGTCCCACATTTCTAAAAAATCCTGATTTTTGGAAAATTGAAAAAATTCAAAATTTTTTCGGCATCTTCCTACAACTACATTATGACAAGCATTTTTGCCTTATTGAAATGTGTTCATGAAAAACAGATTTAAAATTAAAGTCAGGTTCAATTTTTAGAAAACATGAGAATTTGGGGCAAAATTTGGTGCCAAACATACGAATAATTAATAAAACATAATATTATACAATATTATGTTACAATGTTACATAATATTATACAATATGTTATTATATTACATAATATTATACAATATTATGTTATACAAACAAATATAACATACAATAAGAAATAAAACATAATTTTCATTTTCTTTAATCAGTTTTTGAAATACATTCGTTAAAATTTGGGGGT